CAGAGAGTTAATAAGTCAGGTAGAATGAAGCTGAAAGGTGGGTTAGTACACCATTTTGTGCACTAGAAGGCAGTGTCCCGATAAGAAGAACTTCATCAGCTTGAGTTGCATCTGACTTTTAAGCTTGCTTACTGCCAAAAGATAATGAACAAGTATTTCCTTGACAAGTGTTATCACTTTTTTCTGTCTTAAACAGACTAATTTGATCAAACTATTTTACTTTATAATCCGGATAATAATTTTGCTAAGCAGTCTTTTCCTAGCTTTTACAAAAAATACTTCAGGGTTTTGGGAATTTTTAAACCGAGCCCTAGTCCTGAACCAAAACCAGCATTATTAGCATTCTTTATCACGTTGGATTGTTGGTCTTTTTTTATACAGCTGCATTACACATTTTGTCCCGTTTTTTCTTACTTTGCTCGATCATTTGAGCAATTTTAGTGTTTAGAAGTTCATGCTTAACAGTTTCATCAGTTGCAAATGATGATTCATGCGTTGAAAAGTGTCACATTATCCATCCAACTAAAATGCAAAAACCTTTAAAACTTATGATTTTTACCTACATCAGGTAAATTTCAACACAAATATTTTTAACAGATGTATAACTAAAAAGCAATACAACTTTGACAATAGTATCATTCAAATGGAAAATAAGAGCAAATAAAAATATGACAACTTGTCAGGAATCTAGAGCTTTCAGGACCATTTTATATTTCTGTACTAAGACGGCATGACACGCAAATGGTAGGACCTAGCCTCAAGTACGAGTCAATCCTAGCAATGAAACATTTTTCTACAGCTGTTGTGCAGAGTTTTAAAAGTATTATATTACGAGCATAAGATAGCATTTTCCTCAAAGGTGTCGGTCGTAGAGTTCTCTAAATTACGATTGTTTTCTAGAACAAAGCAAGTATTTTTCCCGACTTTTCCTCCACGCTCTTTTCTCAACCTTTCTCTTTCCACTTTACTTTTCCTTTCTCCAGAAGCATTCCCTGCAAAAAAATAATGCAAGTCAGACATAGAGAAGAACGAATTAAAAATGAAGTATGAAACCTTATGGTTGCTATTTGCGAAAATCATGAAAAACGTTGAGCTGCAGTTAGCTGCGGCGTACCCCTCTGTAAAACATAGAGCGAAAAAGTACACTTGTTTTGTCGATTTCTACATTAAGTTATAAAATGTAGCTTGATAATGCGGAGAGTTTTGTACTAATTATTTTTTGTGATTGCCTCATTCACCTCTTTGTAAATTTAAGAAATCATTGCTCATACTGTGGGCTGTGGAAGAAAGACCAGGAAATGCCGCCCTTTGATTGTCTGGCTCTATCCGGCTTAGTAATTGCGTTAACGTTTTTTCTGTATCAGCTAGTATGGTTTAAAATAGTCTCCCAATCTGTCCTTGCCGATTCAAATTGTTTTCCGACAAAAAAGTGGAAAAGCTTTCTACTATGAAAAAAAAAAAAAGTAAGAATCCCTAAAACCTGTTTGAGAAAAGGAATTACAAAAAAAAAAGAGAGTAAAAAACTGTACTCGGATTATTAGGACTCCCACCCTTTAAAGCACTGAGGAGTATATCTGTAAAATATTTACGAATTTCATTATAACATGCCGAATGTTGACAGTCGCGAAAACAACAGGGCTGCGCAGTGCAAACACGACTTGTAAAGCTTTTTTGATCAGTCTTTGGTAAAGAGCTAAAAACGGGTCCCAGAAAGTTTTGGTCGCAATATTTACTGTGGTGGTTCTATGGTCCCTATTTTCAAGAAGTTTTATAACTGCAAAGGATTTATTTGCAATTTCCCTGCCTTTTCATCCCCTACCTCTCCATTAGTACCTTCTCTAAAAGTTCTCTTCAAAAACAATTATATGAAAAGCAAGGGTAGGAAATCCTCCTTATTGGGAAGTCCAGCTCTCTTTCAAAAAATGCAGAGCAAAATATGTCTATTAAACTCAATTCAGCCTTCCCATTCTGCTGACACTGCTGTTTTCCGAAAACTTTCGTCTGTTATATATACAAATTAAAATCTAGATAATTTAGAGACAGCTTCAGTGGTCATTAGCTTCAGTCCAAATGGAATTGCACCTCTATACTAATCGTATACCTTTCGTGCCTGTCTTTGTCTACGTGAAGAAACTGTTTTTCCATATAATAACAACAATTATGACTGTAACTATGGGTGGCTCGTCAGGAATTATCCTATGCTTCTTCAAATCTGAATGACCACAAACAATTATTCTTAAAATTTCTAGAAATATGGAATGGTAACCACTTGTTTGTCGTCTGTGATATAGCAGTTAAAATTATGACTGGAATTGCATTGATATTTATATCCTTTGTTTGAAAGCATTCATTGGGAACAACGTATAAATAACTGTAAAAGAAAGGAAAAAGAGGAACGGGTGTAGCCGTTATATGCTTTTTTTCAAAAATCATTTATGGTGCCATCTTAGTTAAATGTGGGTACATTGCAAAAGTGTCTGAGAGGCTGGGTGCAGATCCAACTGCTATTTGGCTGCTAATAACGATTAAATTTTGAAAAACAAAATCCAGACACGCCAACGTGGAGAAGTTTGTAAAATATGTGCACTTTGATAGTGATAATGGAAACGTTATTAATGGCCCAGGAGGGGACCTAGATTTTACAGCGCTTTTTTGTTGGTCGATGTTTTCGGATGGGGTTCTGGAGCTATGTGGTTCTTTGGGAAGCTTTTTGTTTTTTTTTTTTCGGTTTTTTTTGCTGATGTAAGGGGAAAGCTTTTTTGGTTTAAATTTTTCTAAAAATCTATGTTTATCGTAAGTGATTATTTCTGGAAAACGTATTGAAAATGGTTACAACATTGCTTTCAACTTGTTGGTTATTTAATTTTCAAAGTCTTTAACGATTTTGCTGGTTTAAATTAGAAATTTAACTGAGCTTCTAAATTTGTTGAATTTAAATTGCTGTAGTTATTCAGCTTTTTGATCGGCATCTTGCTTTTATGTTAGTTTTTTTTTTTTTGAACGTTAGCTAGGGTATACGTAAAAATGATTAAAGTACCTTGAAATTCTAGAGAAATAACAGAGAAAAAAAATAATAGTATTGGCTGATAAAAAAACATGTTATACACATTTGGCTGTTCTCGGGTTCTTTTTCATCAACTCGACAATTTGTATTCAACAGGGGACGTAAAACGATTTTGCAGCGTCAAATAAATTTAATGACGGGGATTGTTTTCAACATTTTTGTGTTTTCGAAAATTCAGAAGTTGGTCAGTCTTTGGAATGCTTTCCCAGTCTCGTAGCTGCTGAACAGTATAAGGGAAATTGTGATAATAGAAATCTCATATCTTCTCTCTTCAGGCATTACTTTTTTTGCTGTACCTTGTAATATTCTTTCATTCTATTACTCTGAGGCCCACTTTTTTTCATATTTTATTCAAATTCTGTTTTTTTTTTTTTTTGTATGTGTGTGTGTAATTAATGCACACGACTTAGCAGTTATATTATGGCTAATATACACAGGTTGCTGGTGTTGTTCTTGAATTTCGCAGTCATGGTTCTTTCTTTTTTTAACTTTCTGAGAATTGTGCAAATTTGCATAGCTTTATTTCACGAAAGCTTATCTGCAAACTTTTTTAGTTTTAGTGAAAGTCGTTAAGTGGGTGGCTAGATTTATTTGACGTATTTTGATATTTGTACGATGTTTATTGCTAGGAATTTTCAGAGATCTTTTTGCTGACTGTTCATTCGCTTCTAAATTTGTTAAATATCTTTCAGCGTTCAAACAAATGTCTTCTGCATCTCTTTTTTCCTCCTTTTTTTTGTAGAAGGCCGGGAAGTTACTTTTACTCTTGCATTTTTTATAGGGCATTCTCGTAATCACTGGAAAACTGTGATTAGAAACTGGTCTAAGTTGAAAGCAGTAAAATGTTTGTTAGAATGAATATGTGCGAAGAGTGGCTTCGTATTACGATCGGAAGAGTGTGGACTTTTTTTTTTGCAGGATATTTGTAATAATTGAGAGTAGGAAAGGAGTGTTGAAGAGGTTTACTAAAGTAGCTGATGAAGAGTTCCTTGATTGCTGATACAGCAAATGTATGACCACTCAAAAATTTTACTTCTTTTTTAACATCTGTGTAGTTTGGAAACTGGTCGACCGCTTCTTTTGAAGTTGCCGTTAGAACTCGGTTTTACCGTGGCGAAGTAATTTAGGTCTTTTAGTTTCTATTTCTGATTGCTTGATGAACGGTAATAATTGACGGCCGTTGCTTTCGTTGTTTTTGTAGTTAGTGGAAACAGATAAAAAAAACTTTCAAGAAAACTTGCGGTTTTTTATTGCTAAGGGTTTTGAAGAATTCAGTCTCTATTTCAAATTCCACTCTGTAAGATTTATCTTCCAAGTGTCTCTTATTTGTTTTTCTTATTCGTTCCTTTTATTTGGTTGTCTGTGGTTTGTGAGTCGTTTTCTGTCACCTAAAGTAGTAAAGAAATTTTAGTTTGCATTTGAATGGCTCGTCGTCCAATGTCGTACGGCTACCAGCAAACTGAAGGTCTTTCCGGTGCGGAGTATTTAGCTTCCATTTATGGAACTGAAAAAGATAAAGTCAATTGCTCATTCTATTTTAAAGTAAGTTCAATGCCATTCTCGTTGCTTATAATGTACGCTTATTGTACTGATCATTTTACTTCATTTTTTTCCTTTCTTGATCACTGGTGGTATTAGAAGTAATAGTGAGAATTATCAGTTTTTTTATTTTATTTACTGTTTTTTTTCCGAAAACTCTAAATACTCATCAGTCTCATAGGTTATTTAAGGGGATATTCGCAGATGTTTTGTCTCTTTAGAAAATTGGGCTTTTTTTTTAGTAAAATTCAAATGAAAAATGGAATAAGATGCTTTGGCGACTGCTCTTCTTTCTGAAACACACATCTTTATGCATTTTCTCTTGTGAAATCATCTTCAGATCTTAAACGTTTTAGGAAATGGTCATAAGAATATGGAGGTTTAAAGTACGCCCTTAGAATAGTTAACATAGCAAAGAGTGGAAATTTAAATTTTTTTGGCTAGGGAGGGGAGAGGGAATGGTGCAGCCGATGCGTAGTTTTTATTGTAAAATTGTCGTATTTCATACAGGATCTATTTAACTTGACTGCCAAATGTTTTCAGATAGGAGCTTGTCGCCATGGGGAGAAATGTTCCAGGACCCATCATCGACCCACATTTTCGCCTACTGTTTTGTTACAAAACTTTTATCATAACCCTATTGTTGACGTTCGTCAAGCCGATGCATTTGACAGTCAGTAGCTCGTTTTAAATGCGTGTTTTACCAAGATCTTTATGCGTTTTCGCTGCTGTCACATAACTTCTGAAAAAAGGGGTTTTTTTTAATCTGTGGCAGATTTTTCGTTCCATATGGTTTTACCAACTGTTGTCCTTATTTTCAGAAGTGGGGAAACGAAACGCAGAAGAACAAGCATACTTTGACGAGTTTTATGAGGAGGTTTTTATTTTCTCGTATCTTTGTCGTTACAATAATATAAGATAGAATTTTCCATTTTCATCAGCTAACTTTTTTTTATCTATTTCTATAGAGCAAGGTGAATTTCGACAACTTTTCACTCTCCTAATTTTTTAGGTATTCACGGAGCTTGAAAGGAAATATGGTGAAATTGATGAGATGAATGTTTGTGAAAATATTGGCGAACATATGATTGGAAATGTTTACGTAAAGTTCGTTCGCGAAGAAGACGCCGAAAAATGTGTTAAAGATCTTGAAAATCGTTGGTATGTTCTTCATACGTTTTCATCCACATTCTTACTGTTTATTAGATGTTGTGGGTCCGAAAACAAGCTATACCATACGCTGTTTGCTGGTTTTGGTTTTCATGCGGAATGACGGGCAGGCTTAGAGAAAAATGTTACTTAATTTTTTGCCAAAATCGCTATATTTTTGTCATCGCTTTCGACTGAGAAGTTGTACAGTAATCGAACAGCGTTGCTTCCCATCTCTTTCTGAAACAGCGGTCTGGTAGGTTACGCTACGCCCAAGCTTGTTTTTTGTGTGTGTATTTTTTTTACGAGAACTGACGATCATCTTGTTCAGATGACTCATCGTCGCATATTCGGATTCGCATGTTTAAAATTTCTTGGAGCCACTCTTCAGTCAGCTGACCTTGTTACGAACGTGATTTCAGTGGGAGCCTTAAATGTTAATTTTATTTGCGGACGCTTCTCGTTCAGTTCTGTTTTTTATGTAGAATTATTCTCATTCATAGGAATATTTGCTAAATTAGGGCGGTGCAGAAGCGTCCGCAAATTTTTAGAGATTTAGATACGACTGGTTTTCCGACGAACTATCATTCTTTCCCTTAGATGCTTCATCATGGTATACAGTGCTTAGCTAGAAGTTTTTACCTGATTTTGAGTATTAAGTTTTATTTTTTTTCGCATGAGTCTTTTAGGAAAACCACTGAAAAGTTTTTTTAATTTTCAAATGTTGAAATTTGATCTTTTGGTGATTTTGATGCGCGCTATCGGAAATTAATCAAAACCCTAAGGGTATCTTTATTTAGATGCTGTTCATGAACTCGTGGTGAATCGAAGAAAAAGGTAATAGTTATGCAAGTTAGGTGAGAGTTGGTAGAGCGTGAAGTTGGTTGCCTGAAAACTTAGTCCAATGAATTTGCGAAAAATTAATTTTTGTTCTTAGTTTTATTGGACCTGCTTTTTGCAGTGCTGTTTCCTGGGATCACTGATCGGGAAATTTCTTTCTACAAGTTTACAGCGATGGTCCTTCATGATGATTATAATTTAGGTTTAATGGTCAGCCAATATATGCGGAACTTTCGCCAGTGACGGACTTTCGAGAATCGCGATGCCGCCAACATGAAGTTACCACGTGTTGTAAAGGCGGCTTTTGTAACTTTATGCATTTAAAAGCTATCAGCCCTGAATTGGGAGAGCGTTTATTTGGCCGTAGGTCGGTTCAAAGTATTATCTTCAATTGCTGATTACGTTTTCAGTAACCTTATGGAAAAATTGATCAATTTTCTTGCCAGTTTTCCAGCAGTTGTCATAGTTTTCAAAATATTTCAGAGGGCGCCGGGCGGACTCGGCTGGTCACTACCCTGGATCTCGCTCTAATCGGGCGAGTTATAAACATCGTTCTCGTTCTCCTCGTGATCGCCGCCGTGAGCGTGACGATTATCGCGATAGACGTGAGAAATACTGATCTCTTGGATAGATTAATCCATTAAGGTTCTCATTTGTTTCTGTTAGCAGTGACTGTTTACCGGTTCAATAAAGTACCAAATTATTATGGGTTGTGCTTACACTGTTCTTTGACGTGAGAGATATTTTACATAGTGTTTTTGTAATTGAGGCTTTGCTCCTTTGTAATCCATTTTTCGGAAGACTGTACATTACTGTTCCTCATTACTGTTGGCTTTTTTTTTATTTT